TTAATAATAATAATGACATTTATATAGCGCTCAACCCCGCATAAAACACACAGGCTCTGGGCGCTTTACAAAACAGTACAACATACAACAGTAACATAAAACGTTGTGTTCTGACTAAAGAAAATTATTCCTAATATTCATCTTATTAATTTGAAAAGAGAAACGACTTCAGTTGACATTTGAAAGAATCAAAAGATGTGATCTCTCTCAAAGTACTTGGTAAAGCATTCCAGATATAAATTCCAGTCTATATATAATAACACTTTGTTGCAGAACCTTGATGGAAATTGAATTTTTGTTTGTTTGTTAAAACTATAAATAGACAAAAACGAAATCATTATACCCAACACTGTCAATGTAACGACCAACATAGTAGCTACACTGCCCATACCACGGAGTCACTGGCTCTCACACTCATATCAATTTAATGTTTCGTCGAGAAAGTTGAAATCTTCTTGGTTTTTAATAGCAAAAGCCCAGAACAGATACTCCTTCCTATAATATCGTTGTTTTTTTCCAAAAGAATAAATGTCTCTGTAGGCATGATGTCCACTACTGTACTGTGGACATAAAACCATCACAAAAATAAAGCCATAGTTCATGGAGTCTACTATTGTGAAAAATGACACCCCCTCCGCCCCCCCCCCTTTTTTTTTCGTTTCTATTTTGAAAAAAACAGAAGAATTATTTTATGTGATTTTCATGCATAAATTTCAATAAGCTTACTGGGTGCATTTGAACCACTATTTTTCAATAATTACTCGATACCTCGTGCAACAAACAGTTAAAAATGATTAGTTTCGTGTAGCCTTGTTGTCTTCCATAGTTGACATCCACAAAAGCAGCAGGTGTAAGCATCCGTTTTATTGTGTTGTACCCAGCCCTTAAGGCAAAGGTAGACACGACATTGTGACTGGTGCATTGTTACCGTCTCTTATTGGCCCACCTCCGACTGCCGTGTTGCAGTATTGTCGTATAAAACATTCATTCAGGTAGGGAATGGGTAACAGATCGTAAATTGCTATTTTCGTATAGGGGTATTCAGTGAATGGGAGAGAGGTTGATAGATAGATAGATACATACATACATACATACATACATAGGAAAGCAGGAGGCAAGAGAGGGGAGATATATAGATAGAGAGAGAAGGGGTGAGATATAGGGAGAGAGAGAGAGAGAGAGAGAGAGAGAGAGAGAGAGAGAGAGAGAGAGAGAGAGAGAGAGAGAGAGATAGAAACAGAAAGAGGGAGGAGAGAAAATGTATAGAATGATTAGTATAACACTAAAGGTCCATATACATGTGCCCTCGCGCGCGCGCGCGCGCGCACACACACACACACACAACACACACACACACACACACACACACACACACACACACCCCCCCCAAAAATACACACCCCGGCTCCCCCCTTTCCTCCCCCCCGAAAAAAATATATATATATATACTATATAATATAATGTTATACTATCTTTTTTAAAAAAAAACTTATATATATTATTTTTTTTGGGGAGGGGGAGGGCCACACACACACACACACCACACGGTGTGGTGAAAACTCTCCTCCTCCACCTTGTGTGTGTCGTGTGTTTGAACATAACATTTGGAAGCCAAAAGAAATTTGTCTATTCATTTTAGATAAGTCCTTTGAATGGTTTTTGCTCTATATGGCACATTAAAAATCAACCCATTTTCAACCTTGTCCCCATTTTCGTAGCTTGAAGCACCAGTTTGCTTTAGGCCTACCACTAAAAGTTGCCTCAATCGCGCCATAATATTGCAAGCTACAGCGGTCTCACAAGTCAACAGAAGTCTGCAGATATCATTTTTTTTCAAATTTCATTTACCTGCTGAGATCATGGTTAAGTTTAGTAAGAAACAGAAATATTTTTGTATTGAACATTACCTTTCCACAAACTCACCATCCCTGACATTTCGTAAGTTCTGCACACGGTATAGGAATATTGCTTAGGTGCCCTCAAGACTTTTGGAGTCATGAGAAGAGAAGTTCCATTAGTTTGGATCTATAGCGAATCAGAGCTAAAAATGTCCTTAAAAATGACCCACTTCTGGTCGAACACGCACCACGTGCAGCCCTTTAAACGTCACCAGGGTGCAGATTTCAGGTCGAGTCCCATGAGACGTCTCATGTTCATAGACGTGCTAGGATATTTCTACACCTCAACAGGCTGCATTC